CAGGAAGCCTGTGTTCTCCTTGCTTCTTTACTTACTAGTTGTGGAGGCTTGGGCAAGTCTGTCTTTCAACTTCTGCTTTTCTGCTTCTTCATCTATAAAATGGGGACACCCAGGTTCTGTCCTTCATGTCCTGTCCAAAATCTGGGCATCAGGCAAGGCCATGAAGGTGACAGTACGGAATCCCTAACATGTGACTGCTTATCATCACCCACCCTTGGTGTGTGCACTTTAGAAGCAGAGATTCCCTCCTTCATCAAGGGCACCCTCTGTCATCATTCCTAACTCCCCAGTTCGGGGGTTCAAGGTTTCTCACCCCTGTGCTTTTGCTCGTATTATTGGCTCAGCTTGGAATGCCTACCCCCCATTTGCCTCTTCTATATTTCCAAAATCCACACTTCTCTCGAGGAGGCTCAGTTCAAACGTTAACTCCTCCATATGCTTTCTCTGATTTTCCTGCCCACCCCCCTGTAAAAAGTGACCATGCCCTCCTCGAGTTCCTGCAGCACTGGTCTCTTAGGACTTTCAGCTGCCCTGTCTTCATTCTGTCATTTCTGTTCATCACCTGACCTTTCCTACCATTTTGCTCAAGTGTGGGGGCTGTGTCCAGTTGTGTTTCAGGACAGAGTCAAGCATGGCGCCAAGCACCCAGTGGGCACTCACTTTTTGCTTCAGAAATGAGAACTGCTGTTGTCACACTCTTTACCCGAATTTCATTGAAAAGCAACTACAGATTGTCGTTGCTCTGCACAAAACTGTGTTCTCACTCTGCAGTCACCACGTCTCCGTGCGGGGGGAACACCCAGTTCTAACGTCACGGCTCCGTGTCTCAGTTAATTGGCACTGTCCAAAGGGTGGACTGCCTGTATACCTAAACAATAAATATACAACATAAATGTAATCTGATCAGGCGGGGAAGAAAGACCAGCAAGTTGTGTGCACTGAGGGCAGCCAGCCACATATACTCAATGCAGAACTCATACAGCATCTCATAAATCAGAGCCCTGGCAGAAAACAGCATTGCGTGTCCAGTCTCGGGGCGGGGATGCTTTAGCGATTGAGTGACCGTGTTGTTCCCATTTCAGAAACGTTACAGTGGCCTCTGGAAGGCTGTTTATGGAAGTCCTTTCTGGGGACAAGAGGCAATCTGAAATACGTAGCTTAAATGTTGAAACATGCTCATTTCTGGAATATTTTGGTAGCTTTGGGGACAACGAGACAGAATATTTATAATCTGTATGGTCTCAGGAATGCCTTAAAACCCCCTAAAATTGAGTAAACATCAGCCCCTCTGGTGTCCTGCTTCTTCCAACAGTGAGCACTGTGGGTGGCGGAGAGACCCCCAAAACAATACATTTTAAGCCACTGAAGTACCTGGAGACTGCACAGCAAATCTGTTTCAAAGCTAAACACGCTGAGTTTATGTACTCTGCAAAAGAAAGGGACACCAGACAGTTAGAAATGATGGAAGATGATGATAAACACGAGTTGAAGCAACTTGAAAGGGAGCCAGGCTGTCTGCCACTGCCCGAAGCATGACCAGAGGGCAGAGCACGGGACCCACAGTGAGGACCTCAAGGTTGTGCTTCCGAGCTCCCAAGGCTTCGGGGCGGGGGTGGGGGGGGGTTGGCTTCGCTGGCCTTGCTTCCCGGCACCCTGGCTACGTTTAGGGTGAGGTCTACGTTCAGGGTGAGGGCTACGTTCAAAGTCCACCAAAGACAAAACGGAGTAGAATAAATGGGGGCTTTGGAACCACCAAGCCAGCTGGGGTCTTCTAACTTCTTTGAAACCATTCATTCGGACAAGTGAGAAGAGTTACAGGAGAGAGTCAGTGATGGTCCCAGAGGCCGGCAGCCTTGAACAGAGGGCATCCCCTCTCCTCATTTCCATTTCTTCACCTGTAAAATGGGAGTTAGGAGTCTGCCATGTGCAGGGTTGCTATGCAGATCGAATTAGGATGTGTATGGACACACATGTACAAATCCAAACAAGCGTAAGGGATTCTTAAGACCATTTCTAAGTCCTTCTAAGAAGAGGAGGACACCATGCGAGGACAGAGGTGGAGGCAGAGATTGGAGGGGTGTGGGTCAAACCAAGGATGGCTGGCCACCGCCAGCAGCAAGGAAGAAGCAAGGAAGGATTCTCCCCCAAGTCAGAGGGAGTGTGGCCCTGCTGATGCCCAGATTTCAAACTCCTTGCCTCTAGAACTGTGGGAGAATACATTTCTGTTGGTTAAGCTTCCGGTCTGTGGTACTTTGTATGGCGGCCCCAGGAAATGAATACATGTAAACGAACAGGGAAGTGCCTCTTCCCTGTTCAGTTTACATTTGCTCAACGTTTACCCTGTTAGACCTCTCCAAACTCCAGAATGGAGCTCTACCTGTAACAAAGCTCATACTTCTATGTTTTATTTCTGAAGAACTTTGCCATTATGTTAGCAGCCTCTCCTAAAATCTCGTTAGGGAACTGCTTACGACAGATCTTCAGAGTTGGTCCTTCTGGAACCACCCTAAGCAAAAGGTCTGTCTGGTCCTCCCGGGAAGTAAATATTCTTGGGCCAGCTGAAGAGGAAGCAGCATTCTGCAGAAGGGGTGGGCTATGATGGATGAAGAACCCCATAATACACTTTTGAAGAGCCTACAGTGGGCTTGTCATTGCCCCTCTCCTTTAGCCCAACAGAAAAATGGGTCCATGGAGCTTTCTTCCAGTTCTGTTCACCAACAGAAACTAAATCTACCTTGACTGGTGCCAAACCAAGAAGTCTGCACCCTGAGTCCATTGAATGAGCCCTGGACTTGGTACCAAGGACCCCGTTCGTGATCCATTCTTGGTTTGGGCACTCACTGGCTCCCCCAGACTCATCTATAAAATGGGGAGACCACCTCCCTGTTGGGGTGGTCCTGGGCCACGGTGACGAGAGCATGGATGTGCGTGTAAAATCGTGAAGTACTGTGCAAATGGTGAGTGGTGAAATCATTATCTCCCTCCTCCTCCACCGGTTGTCAGCGCCTGCAGGGTGGGGACCCTCCAAGAGCACCAGGAAAACTGGATCAAAGTGTCCAGCTGGTGAAAGAAGAGTCAGCTGCAGTGCCTGATCCTCTGGTATTGGCTGCCCAGGGGGAGAGCAGTTGAGATGAGCTCTCCCGGTGGGTAATAAAATGAGTCTACGTAGGGAGGAAGCAGGATGTATAAAGCCCAGGAGCCTGATCTGTTTCTGAGATCAAACAGAGCAGCATTGTACCGGGATGTGGAGCTGATGTCAGCGTCTAGAATGCTGGTCGGAATCGCCCTGGTTACGCAGCTGGACCGGAATAAGGCAAGTCTGTATCTGAACTCATTAATTTTTACAACCAACTGAACTGTTCTGCCTTTTGGGGGGGGGGGACGTTGGGGGAGGTGGTGCAGGGGGAGAACAAGGGAAGGAAGGGAAAAGGGAGGGGCTAGTATGTATGGAACAGGGGGCTTCCCACCAGCAGACACTATCTCATTATTCCCCAGCAAACCCTAGCTTCAAACTTCCAGCCAGCCCCCTGGACAGTTGGGCAGAGCTGCTGCAGCAAGGGGAGAACCAAGAACGGGGCCAATGAAACGTAAGGATAATTAGAGTGGCACAAGCCACTCCTAGGAGTTCAAGTTATGTCAATGTTTCCATTATATGCCTCACTTTTGGGGGGTTTATAACAGAGCTATAAAAACTCACGCCAGCTGAGAATTTGGCAGGCCAGGTCGCAGCAAAGGAGGGACTGTTTTTTAATTCAATTCAGCTGCTTGTAACTTGGGGTGGGGAGCACATTGTACGTTTGGACAAGTCGGAAGGGCTGGTTTCAAGTACTATTGCTGCCTGATCCCCCTTCTCCTCCTCCTCCTCCTGTCTCCTTTGTGCTGTCACCAAAGAAACAGCATTATATAAACACATCCCACCAGCTTTCTGAGCAGGGAATCCACAGGAACCCTCCCAAGTGCCAGATAACTCGGCTTTTCCCCATCCCTCAGAAGGATATGGCTCAACCCTCTTCCAGCAAAGGTGCAAACCATTTCACCCAAACCTCTACACAAAAGATTGTCAAGCCTCTGCAAGTGAGCTGTTTGGTGCGGGAGCTACTCCAGACAAAACTCAGTATTGGGGGCCTTTCACACTATTGTTCACAGGATTTGACTTGGCTGGTAAGTATTATCTCCATCTCAGGGGTGAGTTTGTTGGCCTCTCAAGCACAGAGTTAAGAGAGTGTCCTCCATATTTTATCCCACAGTCTCTGATTCCGTCGAAGTCCCCAAATCCCACTGGATCTTTAACAATCCAGTGCACAGGCCACCCCCACCATGAAGCCTTCTGTGATTCTCCTGCTAGAAGTCCTCCCTCTCACCTTTGGTCTCCTGTCTGCTCTTTTCCTGTAAGCCGTATATCATTTGATTGCTGGTTATTGTTCACCAATTTGCACACATTTTATTTCCATACCATGAGCCCCTTCTGACAGAGTCCTGAGCTTATTAATCTCTACCTACTCCAAAGTGCCAAACTTTGAGTAGGTGCCAAACTAGATGAACTCTGCTCAGGAAGTGTGAACAGAGTTAATCACTTAAATAATTAATAATGACATTCAGAAGCCAGGTGGCTGACAGCAGAGGTACAAGGAAAGCTCAGAACAGATAGGGACTTACCAGCTCCTTCTTCCTTAATGGAAGAGAAAACAGAGGAATACATAGGTTAGTAGAAAGGTTTAAGTAGAAGGGTGAAGCTATAGGTCACTGGAGAATACCAAGGACTTATAAGCAGGAAACCTGAGTTGGAATCTAAGCTCTACCACTATAGGTCACCTTCATTTCTCTGAGCCTCAGTGTCTTCATCTATAACATGGGGTCAATATGACCTACGCCACCAACATCACAGAACTGTAGTAGGTTGTATCAGTTAAGAGTGTGTTTGGCTGCAAGTAACAACAAATGGATTACAGTGGTTTCAATAAACAAGAGTATATTTTTCTCACGTAAAACAAGTTGACGTAGGCGGTTCAAGGTGTGAACCTCAGTGATGCCTTAGGAGATCCAGGTTCTTTCTGTATTTCTATCTTAACATCCTTGCCACGTTGGTTCTCCTCCTCATGCCTGTCATCTCTTAGCCACAAGATGACTACCGTAGCTTCCGCAACATGTACACATTCAGGAAGAACAGGCAAGGGGCAGAAGCCCTTCTCCTTGTGAGTCTTTCTCAGCCAATTCATCCCCGCAGCTCTTTAGACACTGTGGGGCACCTGCCCACCTTCAGATTGATCAGTGGCCAAGGGAGCTGAGATATGCCATGACTGATGTAGACCCATCATTATACATCTGGCACTGAGGTAGAGACAAAGCAAAGAATATTTCTGTGCTACCAGATTGATTCAGCAGGCAAGAAGGATGGCAGCTGGGTGAACAACCAACAAAGTCTGCCTCATGGTAAAACATGATAAAGCTGAGCTCCTCAAAGTGTGATCCCTACATCGACAGCATTAATAGCATCTGGGAACTTGTTAGAAATGCAAAGTGTCTGGAGACACCTGGGTGGCTCAGTCAGTGGAGCGTCCAACCCTTGGTTTCGGCTCAGGTCGTGGGATCGAGCCCTGTGTTGGGCTCTGCTGCTCAGCACAGAGTGCTTGGGATTCTCTCCCTCTCCCTCTCCCCCTTGCCCCACCCCCACCCCCTGCTCACACACTCACATGCTCCCTCTCTCAAAAAAAAAAAGAAAGAAAGAAAGGAAAAGAAGTCTGCCTCCACCCCAGACCTACTGAATCAGAAATTCTGGAGTGGGGGCCAACAACCTGTGTTTTAACAAGCCCTCCAGAGGATTCTGATGCTCACTCAGGTTTGAGAACCACTGGGATAAAGTTGAGAAAAAAACGTAGCAACCAAGCTGGAGACTCAGTGGTATTAATGACATGTATTCTTTATCAAAGCCCTCCTCTGGGAAGAGGGGAGGAAAAGAGGGAAAGGAAGGGAGGGAAGGAGAAGAAGCTAACCTGTACTGAGAACATACTCAAGGTGGGCAATGTCCTTGATGCCTTCACCTGTCTCTTCTCACTTAATCTGAACAAACCCCATTTTCACAGACTTGTCCAAAGGTATTCAACTGATGAATGATACAGCTCAAATTCAAATTCTGGTCTGATTCCAAGCCAGTGGACTTCCAACTGCTACACCTAAAAGGGAAGAGTCCTGGTAAACTTAGAAGGACTCAATTTATAAAAGTGTGATTAAAAAGTAAAACTCATGTTCCTTTACTGGGCATTCAGAGCCCTCTGCCGTTTTGCTCTGATCTATCTTCCAGCCTTACCTTCACTACAGCTCCTCCCCGCCGCACTTCCATACCCTTATCCTGGCTCAGAGCCACCCCGAACACCTCCCCATTTCTTGGGCTTGCCACGCAGCTTCAAAGCCTCAACTCAACTCCTGCCCTCTGTAATGCCCTCCCTTCCCTTTTCTGCCTGTTGAACTTTATTCTTTGTAAATGATTAAACAACTAAAACTGACCCTCTATGCGTTCATGGTATAGTGCATGAAACCAACTTGGCACTCAGCAATTGTGTAATAAATGAATGCAAGAATGCCTCCTTTGAATTCTTTTCCTACCAAGAGGCACCTCCAAGTTTTTCTCTCTAACCCAACAGCATTTTGCTTGCATTTCTGATTTCTCAATCTGTCCTGTGATAAGATGATATGTACGCCTCTGTCTCCCAAGCAATGTGTGAACTCCCAAAGCCAAGGTGTGGTCTCACTCATCTCTTTTATCTTCCATAGCACCCAGTGCAGGGTCTTACACTTAGTAAGTGCTCAAAAACCACACATATAGCATGGAACCACATAACCTAAAATGTACATCTGTACCTTTCAAAGAACTTCAAACAACTGTATTTCTCAATTAGCTGATGAATCCTACCACTTTTAATGCACAAAAGCCTATTTCATACTAATGCTGTTGATGAAGGAGCAAACCTTTCCCTTGGATCAGTCCAGTGGATTTTACCTTGCCCAGTGCTTAGCTAATCCAATTCTGAGAATACAGCGTCACTGCTGGATGTTGAAATGGAGCCATTTTGGGAAGCTGAGCGGAAAACCTCCCAGTAGGAGTTATTTACGCACCTGCTGGATTGCCTATAATAAATGATACTGGCCAACTCACAGTGCGATCCCCTAGCCCTCTGTACCCTGGCCATTCCCTCTCTGCCTGCATTTACTGGATGACTTCCAAGAATGTTAGGAAATTAAATATATTTTGCAGCCTCCAGAAAGTATCAAGGGACAACTTTAAAAGTGATACTGAGCTGTAGATAATTGCATTTATTTTTTAAAAGTCTTTAAAAGAACACCTTTTTACAATAAATTTTGAGTGTTGGGGGAATGGACAGTGAGGGTTGGAAGGAGGGATCAGAGAGAAAATATGAAAGTGGTTGATAAAATCTGGTACGTTTCAGAAAATAGCACAGGTTCAAAGAAACCTTATAAACATAAATACCAAAAAAGGCAGAAAAATATATTCCATTACTCTGTCACTCTTGTTTGTCTCCTTAGGCATTCTCCAGCATTTTCTGGACATTCATTCCAAATAACTATCCAACAAGGACTTATTGAATACCTTCCATACCATGGGCCCAGCCTATGAGATGCGAAAAGAGAAAGGACACCAAAAGAATGACTGCCATTTCTCACACTTTTTTTTAGCTTTTAAGAACTTAAAAATGCTTTCAAATACTTGATCTCATTCAATCCAATCTCACTGTACGGATGAGTAACCTGAGAGCATATGAGCAGAAGCATAGGAGCAGGATCATATGGTTATAGGTAAACTGAGCCAGGGCCCACGCACACGTCTTCTGACTCTAAGTCCTGTGCTCTTCCATCTCTACCTTTCTGCCACAAAGACAAGGACTGTTTTTAACAAGTTTACAGCATACAATATATACTCCCACAATATGATAAACTTTAAAAGATGTCTTTTACGGAGTCCTGGGTAAAAACGCATCGGAGTTAAATGTTAAACTTCTTCTACACAAGGTCCCCAATGAAATGACCCAGAGAAGAATAAAAAAGAAAAGGCTTTAGGGAAAGGGAGAACAAGAACAGGACAATATGGTTTCCGCATGGTAGAAAGTGTGGTGCCATCCCATCCAACCCTGCCATCCCATCCCACCCTGCAGGTGGGACCAGGTGACAGGAAGACACTGAGGGGCATCTCACAATTCCACCTCCTGAGAAATAGCAGTGCTTACAGGAAGTAAATGAGACTATGAGATCCCCACCAAACTTGACTGGCCCCCTTGCAATTGTGAATTTTTAAGGGTCAGAGGCAGCAATGATAAGGGTGCTGGCTCAGAGGAAGCAAAATTCACAAGAGCATAAAAGACACTTACAAAGCCATAGCTAATTAAAATTTTCATTAAAACCAATAAAGAAGGGGTGCCTGGGTGGCTCAGTCATTTAAGTGTCTGCCTTGGGCTCAGGTCATGATTCCAGGGTTCTGGGATTGAGCCCCTCATTGGACTCCCAGCTCAGCGGGGAGCCTGCTTCTCCCTCTCCTCCCCGCTCATGCTCTCTCTCACTATCTCTGTCGTTATCTCTGTCTCTCTCAAATAAATAAATAAAATCTTTTAAAAAATAAAAATTTAAATTTTAAAAAGTGATAAAGAATAGAATGGGCACTGCAAAAAGTCAAAATCAGTGGTACAGTAAAGAAATTTGAAAAACTGCCATGGAATGAGGAGGAAGAAGACGAGGTGATTGAAATAATGGGAGAAAAATTGTTGTAAAGAACATATAATACAGAAATCATAGATCAGAGATGTTGGTGGGGAAAAAGAGAGAGAGAGAGAGAACAGAATAAATAAAACAAAGAAAATAAACAAAAACATAAAAGAAGAAAACTTTCCTGAGCTCATATATCCATAAGGATCCATCAGTCTCCTGTGACAGAAACGCAACACCAAACTTAAAAGAGTCTGGGAAATATAATTTCTATTCCAAGCAGCCATGTGCCCACATGAAAATCAAGAATTATGTTAGTAAGAAGGAAAATATGGATTGGGGGAACCACTACCAACCTCTGCCATAACTGAATAAAACATGCATATTTGCAGATCAAAAGATCTCACTGAGTATCCCGCAAAATTACCTCAAAGACTTCTACTACAAGATATATTCAAGTTCAAGAAAAATAGAAGAATTTCACAATTATCCAGGCAGGGGAAAAAAAAAAAAAGCAGGCTAGCCTCAGTCCTATAACAAACATCAGATGACAATAGTGACACACCTGTAGTTTTGAGTGTAAAAGTTGCCAATCAAGAATTCTAAGCTCATCCACGTTGTCATTCATGTCTAAAGGAAATGCGGGAAAATTTTCAGCTACTCAAAGACTCCTAAAAAGTACATCCCTCACATCCTTTCTGAAAAAAGTACTTAAATTATACTCCCACCAATTGAGAAATGAATCAAAATAAGAAAGGAGAAGTTTTGATGAAATGGACCCCCCAAGGTGAGCACTCAAAGCAACTAAATATACCATCTAAGTAATTTTTTTTTTAAAGATTTTATTTATTTATTTATTTGAGAGAGAGAGAGAGAGAGAAACAGCATGAGAGGGGAGAGGGTCAGAGGGAGAAGCAGGCTGCCCGCCGAGCCGGGAGCCCGATGTGGGACTCGATCCCAGGACTCCGGGACCATGACCTGAGCCGAAGGCAGTCGCTTAACCAACTGAGCCACCCAGGCGCCCCCATCTAAGTAATTTTTAAAGGATCATTGTAAATGAGTTTTTAAATACAAACAATAATTATTGAAAAAGAAAATAATGTTAAAAAATAACACCAGGCATACAGTCTTCAAAATTCAATGAATATACACACAAAAGTTTTGTGCCTTTTATTGTTTGTAAATTTCACCTCAAAGTGGGGGAAAACCGCAAGTAATTATTAAACTCTGGTTAATGACATTTGTGCTGAAGTATTTAGGGCAAAGCACTCTGACCTCTTCAATTCACTTCAAAATGCATTTTTTTAAAAAAGATGGGTTGAATGGATAGATACATGATAAAGCAAGCAAAGTAGTATGGCAATGGTGGAAATGAGATGCTGGGTATAGGAGTGTTCACTGTAGAATTCTTCCAACTTTTCTGTAGTTTGAAAAATTTTATGAAACAGTATGTTGGAAGAAAAAAGTAATACCTGGGTCTAAAATCCCAGATTAAATAAATAAAATAGGGAACTGAGTGAACTACATAGAAGGGGGAAATAACAGGGCATTTGTTTCTTAACCTTACATAGGAGACAGTTGATAGGTAGCATTTTTTTAGATCAATAATTAGAAAATTATAGGTTCCTATACCTGTGTTTTAAATTATCAAGGCAATTCGAATATAATTTAAAAATAGGACCTGTACATTCCATATCACTAGCAGGGGAAAAAAGAAAAAGAAAAAACAAACAGCATAGCAAAAAAACAAACAAACAAAAAAATTTAAGCAAAGAGCACAAAGTAGTTTAAAAAACAGAAAGCATAAGCAACTTGACTAAAGTAAAAACTAACATAGTAACCATGACAATAAATATAAATGGTTTAAACTCTTATATTTGAAAAACGAAACCTACCAATATGCTATCCCAAGACAGCACCTAGAACAAAGAAAGGAAAGTATCAGAATAAGGAAAGATAAGCTAGCAAATATATCACACATGTAAACGCACAATCTATAAAGAAATCAGGATCACAATGTTCTCCATCCAAGTAGAATTTAAATGAAAAGCTTAAGTGAAATTTAGATAAATCCTGACAAAGTGAGCAGCTCATAAAGAAATATAATTGTCATGAACCTTTATATGTCACATAATATACAATAAAAAAAATAAAACAAGAATTCTTAGACATTCTGAGGAAAACTGATAGAAATGTAATAGTAACAGGAAGCTTTAAGACCACGTCTTTGATAGCTCAGAGAGGTAATATGCATACAATAATATAACAGTAAGTTAGGAAGCACCCCAGGTGTGTTTCGGTCAGTGTAGAGCTGATCAGGACAATAACTCTGTTCATTGTAGAAGCTGTATTTTTCTTAATGAAAGCATACCACATGCAAGCTTCTTTGGCATCACATATGTGCACTGACATTTGGTATATGCTGTCTACAAACCCCATCTGCACATGAGCTGCCAACAAACCATTCTCTACATGGGAGATCTAGCAAGACTCAGGAGCTATAAAGTCTAGAGAGGTTTCCAGTGTTGATTTAGAGGAAGAAGCAATGGGATGGGTTATAAGAACTGGAAAAGATTTCTTGTAACTGTTAAACTCAGATATTTCAAAGCGGCGGGTCCTAGTAAAAGATCAGATGATAGAACGAGGAGGTTCAGGGTCTCCCAAGCCAGTTTTGGTTCCCTAGGGCTAGATCCTGCTTTCACAAACAGAAATGAGAGAGTTGGGAAGATGAGTGAGGTGAAGGGAAAGTTGATAGATGGACATGAGGACATTATGAATTTGCAGTAATGAAAAGATAGCCCACTGGAGATGCTCTGGAGGCTGTTGGAAATTTAGAACAGGATCTGGGTTGGAAATGTGAATTGAAGAGTGACCATCACCAAAGTCAGTTAAGACCACACGATTCAAGTTACTGGCAGAGAGGATTTAGGATTAGCAAAACCCACGAAAGCCAGATGATGGGGACGTGGAGAGCCAGGCAGAGAACTCTGTGCATGAATCGTAGGCAATGTAGAGCCGACAAAGGTTTTGGATCAGGAAAGTGGTTCTAATTACTAGGAAGTTTCCATTTTGAAGCCCAACTCTGCCTCCCTACATATCTGTCAGCAGCTGGTGCTTCTTCTGCCCTATGGGGTAACACAGAAATCATCTGCTGCCTCTTCCACATGTCAATAGAGGGAAAAGCAGAAACAGCATAAAGCCTTCATGCATTAACAGGGCTAGAAGGAGAAGACACAAGGCACTCTGAGAAAACCACATTAATCATCAACCCAGGAAACTGGAACACTCTACAAAACCATTGCTATAAATTCAATATTTACATAAAAATCTGGACATTCAAGTTCTTGTTACCACAGGGAAGGAAAACATGTAAAGCTGCCAGAAAGAGAAGCCCACTTGCTACCTAGACTCACCGAATTCATATTTGAGTGCAACATTCTCCTTTCACAGAGAAGAGAACAAAGTTGCCAAAAGACAATTGGCGTCTTGATCAATAGCATGTCCACACAATTTACAATTCCCACGTGACCACTCCCATGTTGGGGTTGAAGAAACTGTAGCCCCGGGGGCACAATGACCTGCCGTATGTCACATAGCCAGTAAGCATCCAAACTACGCGTAAACCCAGTTTGCCCTGCCACTCAACCACACACACCAACCCAAGCAAGCCAGACAGGCAGAGAAGAAAAAAAGAAAAAAATGGCTGCATTGTGCCCGAAGAAGCAAACCCACGCAAACCTTATCTGTTCTTCGGAAAGATGAAAATCCCAGGTGATGGAGGCACTGCATACGCTCAGCTGGGTTTGGGGCGAAGTCACTGGGACCCTCTCTACAATTTCTAAAGAAGAAATAGCATCTGCCAGCTTCCCGCCCAGGGACCTTCTTACAAGTATGGTTTGGCTGGAGCCCAGCCAGACTTCCTGGGTCAGAATCTCAGGGTGGGGCCCTGGAACCTGAGTTCCTCAAAAGCCTCCCCAGTGAATCTCACTTAAACTCAAGTAGGGGAGCCACTGGGGTTTACATTCTTGAGCAACGAGCACGTGAAGAGTGAATCCAGATCTTGTCCCCAAGTCTGAGGGCAGACCGGACACAGATCCTCCTCCTGCCTTCAGTGCCCAGGCCCTCCTGTGCCCTTCTGGCCCCCGCTCATTGCTCAGCTCAGCTCAGCCCAGAATGAGTCCTCCTGAAGGACATCCTTCTGCCATTTTAATTTCTAAAACCTGTCATAAAAGCAGCTCTTCTCTCCTAATGAGGTAATTGGTGCCATAATGCCATTAGGAAAGTGCCCCTGGCGTGAGGCTCAATTAAAAAAGGTGTATTAAATGATTTACATTTCTCTATTTAGCTGAAACACTAGTTCTAGACTTGCTAAGTAATATAATGTTAATGAGCCAGAGTATGGGGCTCATTTAATTCTATACTGTAGCTTTCTAATTGATGCGTCGTTCTTCCTCACCCCACCGTCCAATTTTTCTTCTCCTAATGCTGGAAACAGAGAGAGAGAAAAAAAACCTATTCAAGGGTCAGGAGGCAAAAGGGAAAACCTACAGAAAGACGGCTTCTCAGTCAGCGTGGCAGGCCGACCTTCCAGAGGGACAGGACTCTGTGTTAACTGTTGACCCTGCAGGTTTATTCTGGGCTTCAGCTAAACCCAGAGGCCAGAAGAGCGCCAATATGGAGGGCCTGGCTGCAGCGTTCCCAGCCCGAAAGATCTGCGGCTCTCCGGAGAAGCCCGGGGAAGGTCTGCGGTGTAGCCCACGGGGCCAACAGTAGCAACAGCAATTCCAGAGAGCTCACTGGAAATGCAGAAGCCCGTGCCCTACCCCACACTTATTAAATCAGAATCTGGATTTAACAAGACCCTCAAGTGCTCCTGACGCACTTTGAAATTTGAGAAGCACCGGTCTGGACCCTTCCAGAATAAATCAGAACTTCCCGGGCCTCCCTCAGAGAGATTTACCCACTAGAAGCCAGCCCAGTCCTATCCTCGTGGCAGCATTTCTCTTTTCTGAAATGTGACACCGTCTTCATAGGAGAAAAACCTCTTTTTTATTTATTTATTTATTTTTTTTTTAAGAAAAATTCCCCAAGTAACAGAAAAGACCAAGAAAGAGTTTCTGGACTTAAGAAGTTCGAAAGCCCGTATTTCATTTTACTCACATAACCACCAATCTCTCCTGCATCACACCCAAGGGCTGCCGCTCTGTCTCTGCCAAGCCACAGTTACATGAAAAGCCAGGAGAAAAGCTCTCTTTCTGACACAGGAGAGCCAGGAGACCAACCTTCTCAGCTCACGGAATCACGGCATGTGGGAGCTGGAAGGGGCCTCAGAAGGCCCTTCCCACGCCTTCACCCCACAAAACAAGACACAGAGGCCCACAGGAGGCAAGTGATTTGTTCGAGCAACCTCTGCCCATGAGTGGCAGAGCCGGCTGGGACTGGGCCCAGATCCCTTTCCTCCAGCCCCGTTTCTGTCGCGCCGGGAGCCCCCGGGGTACTGTGCACGAGGACTGGCTCCGTGCCCATGTGCAAAAGCCATTTCACAAATTTGCACAACGTGAACCAATTCTTCTAAAGCAAACATAACACTGCACAGTTGTGAGCACCGCTGGGGAGAGGGGCTCCCCAGAAACCGCTTGGCTGCTGGTCTCCAGATCATGGATCAGCCAGGACATTGTGCAGACAGTGAGCATCAACCCAAGCCATTCTCAAAAAACTTGAACTCCATATCAGAGCAGAAAAGGGAACCAACTCTTTCTTTTCACCATCTTTTCTTTTCCTTTTTTTCTTTTCTCACTCATTTTCCCCTGGCAACCACCAATCTGTGCTTTGTTTTCTATGAGTTCAGTTTTTTAAGATTCCACATATAAGTGAGATCATATGGTATTTATCTTTCTCTGACTTATCTCACTTTACTCTCTTTCCTTAACAGGCTGCTCCATTCCAATTTTTGTACTGGAGCATTCTCTGCGTGAGAAGCCTGGTACCACCAGCTCAATGGAATATCTCCACAACTGACTGATGGCTTGCTTGTCCAAACTCACCATTTTTTTTCTTCAAATACACACAGTCTGACTTGGGGATGAAGACAGAATAACATAAATGTCCCTTAAAACCGGAAGTCTCAACCAACTGCCCCAAAATCTAGCAGACCCCAAGAAACTCAGATCCAAAATGACCAAGTAATGGCAGTGGAAACATCCACGTGAGAAAATCAGCCATGAGGAGGGGACTTCATAAAATCCAGCCTCATAAACCTCAATTCCCCAAAGCCCCTTTCTTTGCTACCTGCAGCAGCCAAACCACCTCTCTTCCCGTGTCAATGTGTCCCTCCAAGGTGGCCATCACCTCCTGTCCCTCTAATGCCTAAAATGACAAACATCAGCCTCATGCTCCTGTCTACGAGAAAGTGAGGTTTGTACACCCAGGGCTCCTGGAACGGACCTCCTGTTTCCTTCTTCCTTCCTTCCTTCCTTCCCCTTTCTTTCTTTCTCTCTTTCTTTCTTTCTTTTTTCTTTCTCTTTCTTTCTTTTTCTTCTTTCTTTCCTTCTTTCTTTCTCTCTCTCTTTTTTGTCTTCCTTTTAGTCCACCCTGTCATTTTTCTAAAATGGAGAAAAGGGGGGGAAAAGCAGAGAAGCACACGAACCTTCCCTGCAGCGATGTGAGTGACTGCTATGTTTCCATGGCTCGCTTTCCACTGTTCTCCGTGACCCCTGCAGACTCCCCTTGTGAGTGAGTGTCCCGGAATGTCTCTTTATTAGGTGTCTGGAGAAGTAAAGCTGTCCTGATGCCAGCGCCCCCACACTGAGGACTTTATTAGTTTTTTAATTTTCTGTCTGGGTGCTCCTGCTGCATCAAACTTTCCACAGCTGTTAGGAGCTATTAAGTAAGTAGCTTCATCGGCCCTTTCCCCACCCCACCCCCTCCTTAATAACAAGAGAAATTTCTGGACATGCTACGTGGAGCCTTTAAAATAAAGATGCTTTGTGTCTCGGGGGAGAAATTGTTGGGGGTCTGAGTGGGGAGAGGATGTCCTGCCATCAGGAAAGCACCTTGCCTTGTGGGTGCCTTGGCTTGGAGCAGGGGGGCCATGCTGACCACACGGGGGACCGTGCAGAAGTGGGGAGCCACTCCCTCAGCCATTCTGCCCAGCAAGTAGGGGACCGGGGGTAGCTCCGACTGTTTTCAGAGCGGACTTGGAATCCGGCCCAGAGCTTGATGCCCGGTTCAAAGCGTTCCCTCCTCAGTGGACATTCTTAGACCTGCAGCGAAGAATAAAATAGAATGACTTGCAAACGTTCCCCGGGGTAGGCACACAGCTGTGGTTCTGCTCAACAGGCCTGGCTCTTATTGCTCACGTCTCCCCTGAGAAAGAACTCCTGATCCCCACCCGCCCCCAGAGCCCCCTCCCTGCCTGTGTCCTCCCTCGATGCCCTGAGCCCATCATCCGCAGGACTCCTTGTGTGTAAATCCAAAGATGAGTGCACGCACACACACACACACACACACACTCACTCAGACACTCACAGGGCCATGTACTATTCGACCGGGCAGCCGGGCCCTTACCCATAGCACCCGAGGATCTGGAAGGTTATGGCCACTGGGTGGGCAGAGGAGGGCAGACTAGGCGCTTGAGAGCCCAGAGCTTTCTGAGCATCCCTCCTGGCTCCAGCCTGCCCGGCAATTTGCTTTCCAGCGGCTGCCTTTAAGCCTCTCTTTGAGAAGACCTTATTTGCAGGGTGAATGTGAAAGCCCCGAGAGAAGAAAACCCTTTGGTGATGCCCGCCTCGGGAACAATTTTGCCTCTGAGAGCAAGTTGGTATTTGGGGTTAATCCCTCTGTGGAAACACTGGGTTGAAAGCCCAGAGGAGGTCAGGGGTCTGATTAGGGCTTCTGTTGACATATAAACTTCCTGGTCCTAGGAGACAGTCGCAGGGGTGGGGGCAGGGAGCAGGGAAGAAAAGAAAAGAAGAATTTTTTTAATTAAATGGCCTTCTCTCTTAAAAATAAAATCAACGAAATAAGGTAGAGCTTGTGGAATCAAGGTTTGATAGGAATGTCTAGGTACAAATATTTTATTTTTTCAGTCAAGATTTACATAATAGGACTGAAGCATCTTTTGAAGTAAAATTTGAAATGAAATGCTGATATATATACACTCATATATGTATACATGTAATATGTATGTATGTGTGGATAGGCATATTAAAAAAAAAAAAAAACAGGAAGAAATAAGTTTAGTTATCTCCCGAGAACCACAGGAATGGTTTTGTTGTATTTTTTAGAGTGGGCTCTGATTTGTGTTTAGTTTGGTTTGGTTTGGTTTGGCCAGAGAAAATCATCATGAAGACTCTACAACAGGCAGATAAGCTGAAAATGATGGTATTTAAGGCAACTAAAAACTGCTATAAACACATACATACAAGAGAAGCCTAGATGACAGTATTAAAGACAAATAATACTTTCAAAAGAATTAAGAGAATAAAAAGACTTCTTCCATATGCTCAAAAAAAGGCAAAGTAAAACAGTGCAGTTGGGGTGGGGGGTGAGTGGGGGAAGGGGTGGGGATGCCAACACGGTTATCCAAAAAAGAGCAGTTAATTTTTAAGATCTATAATTGGAACCATTTTTTAAATTAAATTAAATTTTTTAAAAAATTCAAGTATTATTAACATACAGTGTTATATTAGTTTCTGGTAACGAGCGATTTTTAAAAGGATTAAATTTAAAGACAAAATAGTTACTTTTTTTTTTTTTTTTTGAGAAAAAGCCAGGGTGTCAAGAGTCTGTCCCAGACATCTTTAAGAACATTAAACAAAATATCCATGAAGAAACTGTGGAAACCCTATTGTTTGGGACATTTGCAACCAGATAAAACTCAGGGATGTAGGATTTAAATCCCAAACCATCCCGTAATAGAAGAGAGATCCCCAACCCTAATGTCTAGTCTCCTTTTGTATCTCTAGCTGGTGAAATTTTTTTGAGGCTTTTGCAAATATTAAAGATGCTTCTCACTGTTTACTTTGTTAAAGAAAAAGGAAAGCATTTCTTTAAGAAATGGTCACCTTTCCACTCTGAGTCTCTAGCTAAGGAATCTTGGAAAGCCAAGCATCTAACATTTTGAAAATGAATTTGTCAACAAAAGTAACCAAAAGAAAGAAAAAAGTGAACAAAATTTGAAATCAAATCCTATAGACCATTCATTGCCCCTTCGAAAGAATCGAGAAAATTTCTAATTCTTTCATTTTTCTCAAGAAATCCTAGAATCTCCCTAATTCATCAGCTACTTGGTTCAGGCTTTGCCTACTTGGCCTTTTTCCTTTTATGTCTCTCACCCCCTAAATGAGAATGGTTTCTTGATATTTTCTAACACAAATTCCGTCAAAGCATCTGACAGCAGGAAGATGGCTGTTTCAGTAGCAGGAATAAAAAGGAGACTAGAAGGAAAAGGAATGACACACAGAAGTTAGCAACACACCTGCAGATGTAGAGTTCAGAAGTTCACAGGCTAAGGAGGTCCAGCAAGGGCACTGCTGAAGGCACGCACTGTGGAGGGCACCCTGACACAGAGGTCTGCAGCTCTCAGGAGCACTGATTTCGGTGAGCCCCCTTGCAGGACCACTTCGAGAGGGCGAGGCTGAATACGGTGGCTGGACAAAAGGGAAAGAATTCGGGACCCACAGGCGAGTATCAGAGGTTGTCAGAAAGCTAGTGGTGAGTCAGAGGGTGACATGAGACTATGTTATACGGGCAGAAGCAAGCCTGACAGTGCGCTCCCCTTTGGGCTCCAAAATGCCAAGTGGCTGGGCTCTGGGGTCTGCAGTGGGCTATGTAGTCAAGATGACTACATAATTTATTCCCCCATCGGGACACTTCTGAGAGTCAAAGTCCGGGAGTCTATTAGAATTATACTGGGATAACCCATACAAGCTGGGACCACCCCAGGCAAACTGGGATGATGCTGACCCTAATTATGAATCTCCCCAAAGTCTAGGAGATAAAGTTTAGCTGCCCTCAGAACTGACTGCAGACAAGGCTACCCCCACCCCCACCCCGGCTGAGCTCCTTTTCCCCAGGGGAGAGGCCTCTCCAATGGCAAGGAGTGGACGATGAGGAAGTGCCTTGGGCAAATAAGTGTGGGAAATGGACCATTCCTACTCCCACTCTCTCTGGGAGACTCACAATATACATATTAGTAAATTAGAGAGTTTGAGAAGGCCTGCAGTAAATTAAGCTACTTAGCATTGTTCAACCGGGGGGTCTTCCCAAAGGTTTTTGACCACTATGAGATCGTTTGTCTGCAGAACTACCTAGAACATTCGGGCAAACTGAGCCTTTGGAAGCCAAGTGTACAGGGCAGGGCTGGGATTCCAGGCCCTCCCTGGGAGATGGAAGCTGGCAGAGTACGCAGGAGCTTCCAGAGCTCCTGAGGATGACACTAGCAGATGTTCAGCTGGGTCAGGTAATACAAGAACCTACCCAGGGACAGCCAAAAGGCCTGTAGAAACATGTCTGAAGCCAACCCACGCTGTGAGCACGAAGCCTTTGAGTTCACAGAAACGCAGGCAGGTCTCCCTAGCCCACATGAATCCATTTCCTCCAACAAGGAAGACAACAAGGACTGCACTTGATATTAAGGCCGTGGTAAGCCTGACCCAAACTCGGCTGAGACACAGAGAACCCCTGTCTCCCTATAAGCGTTTCTTCCACGGGGACCGGAGGCTAGACTCACCCATCCTGCCATGCCTCTGGCATGCATGTCCTGTGGGGAGTGCCCCAGAGAGTGTGGGTGAGGCGGCCTCAGTCAGAACCACTCCAAACGAGCAGATGGGTTCTGGTGAAGGAGGTGAGGGGTGATGGTAGAGGCTAGGAGTCAAGCCAGAGATGGGCTGGACACCAGCTCAGGCACTTGTCGGTGGGCATAGTGGAGCAACGCTGACACACAGCCCATTAGGCAGAGGCTACTGTTTCAGGGACACTCCAACCGTTCTCACCTGGATTATCACGAAGTCCTCCGACAGCATCTCTCTTGGCAGGTCCCTCGCTCTTCCTGCTTGTCCTTCGTTTGGCAGCCAGAAACATACAGACTCAATGTTCAGAGCATCAAACAGTGAGTTGGTGAGCAGGAGAGCCCTACAGGAAGATCATGGTGGGGGCGGGGGGAGCAAAGGTCAGTGATTCTCCTCAATGTCCAAACATCACATGGTGCCTGTCATGAGAACTCTCTAAGAAGACATCCCAATCTCTCCTCCCTTCCAGTCACTTCTATCCCCTCCACTCCATCTACTTATGTGCAGCTGCTCTTCGATCCCCAAACATACCACTCTTCTCACAATCCCTTGCTTTTCCTATTGCTGTTCCTTGCCCATAACAGCCCTGTCTTCCTAGCTAAGTTTGACTCATGTACTTTAAGACCCACCTGAGATTTCACGTTTTTAGCTGAACAGCCTTCCCCACTGCCCCTGTATCAATGCTACCTGAGCAGATTTCGAGCCTTCCTCCTCAGGGCACTCGCATCTCCTTGTTTGGCTCTTAGCACACCAGAGGTAGTCTCCTTGGCTAGACTCTGAGTGCCTGCCGGCAGGAAATTATCACACCAGTTCCCTTGTCCTTGGTGCCTACCCCAAAACCCACTGCAGAGTCCATGCCCGGTTACTGTGGGGTCCTGGAGAAACAAACACAACTCTGTGGAGTCACGTTCAAGATTCAGAGTTTTCCTCAGGCTTTAGCATTTTAAATTTGGAAATGAAAGGCACCAGAAATGTCTTTAGGTTAGAGTCTGCAGGAAATGATCAAAATGATGAAAATGTGAAAATGGTTCAGGACTCTACAACCACGGTCGAGCAAAAGGATGTCTGCTAGAGTTTATTATCCTGTGAGTTCATTTCTCAAGACGAATGTAGCCTGAATGGCTAACACCATTTCAAAAGGAACAGAAGCCCACCCGCCTCAACCCCACCCAATATTCGTGATCTCCATGAGTCCTTACAGGAAGCAGGTGTGAACATTGGGGTGAGCAGGTACTTCCAGCTCAAAGAGTAAGGATTTCTTTTTTTTGACTTTTTTTTTTTTAAGATTTTATTTATTTATTTGACAGAGAGAGAGAGACAGCGACAGAGGGAACACAAACAGGGGGAGTGGGAGTGGGAGAGGGAGAAGCAGGCTTCCCGCGGAGCAGGGAGCCTGATGCGGGGCTCCATCCCTGGAATCATGGGATCATGACCCGAGCTGAAGGCAGACGCCTAACGACTGAGCCACCCAGGCACCCAGGAGTAAGGATTTCTAAGATGGAAGAAACATGGGGTGTGGGGAGAGGCAAGGACTGAAGTGACAAAGAAGAGAATCAAGGAGAATGACAGGATCTAGGAGGTGAGAAGAGGACCAGAAGACTTGACAATAAAAATACGAAGCTGCAAGGAACCCCAAAGTCCTCTCAGAGAAAAAGGATCCAGTCCAAGAAGTACATATGGCACAAAGAGCTAGAACACAGAAGTAGGAGGCAGGATGGACTCATCCTCAAGATGTAAAGCTGAGTAAGCAAGCCTGTATTTTTGCAGTTCTCTGGTTAATTTCCAGCCATAAGAAATACGGCCCAAGACTTCATAAAAATATCCCTAAAACAGTCCACATGCTTCTCAAGGCAGAAGGTAATTGTTACGAACAAATCCACACAAATTCTTGTGCCAAGAGCAACAAATTGAGAATAAAGAAGGAACAAGAAACATGAAAAAGGGGGCTAGTCAGAAACCAGAATGACAAATGTGGGCCATCCTCCCCTCCCAGCAAAACCAGAGGAAAGTGAACCTTTACAGCACCTCAAAGGCTGATTGCTATTAAGAAAGATCCAGCATAGCAGTCCTAAAGGATATTTTCATCATGGAGAAAGCTCCAGGATCACTGCTGAGGGGGCATCATGTAGATCAGGGTCGTAACTCTGCACGATCAGTCCTTGGGATCACAGCCTCTAAGACCTGGAGGGAGATGACTAAAGTCAACCCCCATCCTATCTCTGCATCACCCCCATGGGCTCCTTCATGTGACTAGCCAGTTTCTGCTTCACCACTTTAAGGTATCTTGACTTACAGAAAGTTCTTTCTTATAATGAGCCAAATCTTTCCCCTGCAGAGTAGGGGCAGGGAGGAAAAGTTGGGGACTTAACAGAGTTGGCTACCTTTCTCTATGTCAGGTCCTCAAGAATATGAAAACAAGTCTAATGCTCCAAACTAAACATCCCCTTACTTCCTGTGACGTGAGCTCTAGTCTGTCGCTCTCTTGGCCAATGTCCTAGGGCCATGCTCCGGTTGGAACTGAGCACTAGGCCTAACTCCTGTCTGCCGTTGTGCAGCTATCCGTAGCCTGTTCTGGGGCAACAGCAGTGATATCTCAACGCACAAAGAACAAGAGGGCCCCCCCCAAAATCAGCCAGAGTTTGCGCTGTTCCTGCCAAAAATCCATGGGAAGGAGATTGGGCCCAGCAGAGGCGTCCCTGGGCTAGTGTCATTCATCTCTCCTTTCCCCTCTCCACCTCACTGTGGTCCTTACGGTGCTGAGCTTGAACGCATGGCTCCTCCTCCATTCTCTATAGGTACGACAGTTCACCGTCCCAAGGAACCCTTCACTAGGAGGGTGCCCCTCACAAACAATTGCCCCCACAACAGAAGAGCTCATTAAAAGCACCGAGGAAGACTGAGACGCACTGAGTAAGGAAACCTTCCTTTCCCCCTCAATAAAATGAGAGCCTAATCCACCACGGATGGAAATGGAGGGCAGCTCCCAGACTGGGCAGGGGTGGCTGGACTCCACGGCCTCCAGCACTGGCTCCCCAAGGCATCCCTTCCTTTTGGAGACCCCTCTGGCGTCTCAGGTCTGGAATCCAGCCATCTCTCTTAATGAAATCAAGCCCCAGCTCTCCAAGGCTGGCCCAGGTCAGAGACTCTTCGAACAGGAGAGCACCCAGAAGGAGGCAGGGCTGTTCAGATGCAGCTGCATGGCAGGGCTGGCTCCTTGCTTTTGGGCAACACCTTGCCATTTAGTGACCGTTTTTCCATTTATCACATCATTTAGTTCTCAGCATAATCCAGTGATACAGGTAGGGCAGGAGTTATTTTAACTTTCCTGATGAGGCAACTAAGGCCTGGAAGAGAGAAAGCGATCTTCCCAATGTATACAACACAGCAGAGTTGATTCTAGAACCAGGGTCTCTAGTCTCTGTCTGAGGGTCATGCACAGCTACACTAACGGTCATTTCAAAATGTCCCCATCTTAAATACTTGATACAAACACCAGCAGCCCAATGGAAAGTCTTAAAAGTTGACCCGTTCCGGGGACCTACTCTGGCTCCAAACAAGCAGCTTCCAGCCTGCAGCTCCAGCCCTCAACCCGTGATGGCGCAGTGACAAAAGGCATCTGTGAGGGGCCCACACGGCCACACCCTGGGGCACTGCAGGCCCTGCTGACTCAGGAGGAGCATTCCCACGGGTGACCATAGCCTGCTCCAGCCTGTTGCCCCGGGAGACAAGGGAATCAGCAAGCAAAGAGCTGCCCGCCCTGCCCAGCCTCTCAGGGGCCATAGCTTAGCCCTGCAGCTGGCAAGCACCCACCCCTTAGGTGTGACTCGGCCGGGTGCCCAGCCCTGCAAGCCCGTCCAGATCTCAGTTCCCGGTAACACCCTCATGCTTCGCCCTCCTGCATATGGGAGAAGAGTCATCCATCTGGCAGCAGCCCAACTCAGCAGCTGATTGGAACAGGGAGCGGCAGAAACCTGCACCAGATCAACCCTTCTTCCGCGAGGTAATTCAAACGTGAGTTTGAGTTTGAAGCTTCTGTTTCAAAGGATTGAACGTCAGGCTCATATAATGTGTCTCTCTTCTAAACAAGCGCGTTTTCTCTGCCACGAGAGGAGCACCTTCGGTGCTCTTCCACCCAGCATCCTGGGAAGCCATTCCTGCAGGTGTCATTCAGCGAGCGTCTACCAGGGTGTCGTCACATGCATCTAATGAGGGGATGGCACTGACTGCCCCATGGGCAACGTGCTAGGCGAAGGGCGATGTACAGATGCTAGGGAGAGTATAAGCTTTCTCGGTTCAAATCCCCGTTCACTTGCTTAATGGCTTTGTGACCTTGGGCACATTACTCAGCTTCTCTGCGCTTGCTTTCTTCTCCACAAAATGGGATACCAGTACAGCGCACAGGGTTAGGGGAGCTAAATGAGACGGTCATACCGAAAGCACCTGAAAATGGTGCTGCGACTCTAAGCCCTTGATTAACGTCAGCCATTATTACAGGAGCGTGTTGACTTAATCCTTTCAACAGCCCAAGGAGATGGGAACTATCATACAGGTGAGAAAATGAGTTCAGTGGCATTAAGCATGCTTCCCAAGGTCATAGCGCTAACAAGAGGCAAACTCAAGACCCTAAACAAGCCCCATTCTCGCATGTACGGCACTGAGCAGCGCAAACGTCTCCCAAGAACTCATTGTCTTATTTGGCAGGAGGGAATCAGTATTTGTTTTGTGCCTATCAAGTGCAGGACACTTGTTGGGGCTTTGCATACATTAACATAAGTAAACAAATAACTCCGGTTCAAATCAAAATGTGATTAGAGCCTCACTAAGTGCCACTGGAAGTCAGAGGAGGGCTCCCTCTTCCCTCCTCGGCTCCTGAGATGTGTGCGTGGATCAGGAGGTCAGGCAAGCTCCTGGACCCTCTGGCAGCAGGTTCATGCAGGCATCCCTAGTCCGTCTCCTTTGCACTATTCTGAGGTCACCAAATATCAAGCCTGTAAGAGCAAGCTCCACACAATTAAGAGTTTTACTCAAGTATCCCTACCCCCTGTCCTGGTTCCATCCTCAATAACCAGTATGGACTTAAAAATTGGTTTCTTACCCATCTCAGGAGGGCAACTCTACGGAGCAAAATAAATTTAACTCTAGGCACTTAACATTAATAATATTACTAAAGGTAGTAAGTATTCAGAAGAGATATCTTATTTCAAGGGAACGGTGTCTTCACTAAAATCTAAAATGTGGATTTGAACCACCATATTTAATACATAGCCTGGAAAAATCCATTCAAATGTTTCTTTATAAAAATTTGGGAAACATTAAAATGTAAAGAAATTTGAAATGTTCTTTTTTGCATAATATAAACCTGCACATTCAGTCTTACTCGATTTTGTTTCACATATACGCATATATCCGAAAAGCCTGAAATACATCAAAATACTAATAGTGGTTACCTCTGGAGCATGACTTAATGGAAATTTTATTTCCTTCTTTATATATTCCTGTATTTTACAAGTTGAATACAGTAAGTCTGTTATTTTTATAATATAGAAAGATACAAAATTTGTTTCAGTTTTAAATTAGGGCAAGGGAAAAGAGATTTGCCCATGTTGGCAACCAGTATTTTAAACTTGTGGAAAAGTCTAAGAATTCAACAATGATAGGAAAAGAACTAATTAAGAAAAATCAAGAGGGAGTGCCGGAGAGAGAAATAGGTGAAGCAATTTAAGAGGTACAAACTTCCAGTTATAAAGTAAGTAAGTCACAGGGATGAAAAGCACAGTATAGGGAATATAGTCAATAATATTGTAATAACATCGTATGCTGACAGATGGTAACTACACTTATCTTGGGTGAGTACTTCATAATGTCTATAATTGTTGAATCACTATGTTGTACACCTGAAACTTATATAACATTGTATGTCCACCATATTTTACTCAAACAAAGAAAAATCAAGCAATGAGTTAAGGAATATAAGGGGATCATAATATATAATGTCTTTATAATTTAGCTCAAATTTTTCAACAAAGGACTAATGATACAGGTGCAACAGACTCTGTTTGGCTGTTTGTATCCATTTACAAAAGGTATAATGCATGCAAACTTATTTCTAGTTTTAAGCAACGGTGTTTAACTTTGGGGAAGAGGAGTCATAGACTCATTTGAGAATCAGTGGAGAGCCACAAACAATAAGACTTTCCCCACAATGAGGACAGAAACACACACACACACATACACACACGCACACCACACCTCAGAAGTTTACATATAAATTTAGAAGCTTCCTAATCCTTGATACCCATCCACTTCTTCCCTGGAATCCATGAAACACAGATCAAGAAATTCTACACCAAGAATTTTCTTCTTTCAATCTTCCCCAAGTTTTGAATTAGGATTACGTTCAAGCACTGAGAAAAACTGAAAGAATAGAACAATGAACATCCATACACGTTCCACTTAGATTTAGCAGTTCTTGACATTTTTGTCATATTACGTTTATTTACACATTCACTGAAGCATTTGAAAATTATAAACATTATAACACATCACCCATAAACACTTCAGCATGTGTTCCTTAAGAATAAAGATGTTCTGGGGCGCCTGGGTGGCTCAGTGTTTGAGTGTCTGACTCTTGGTTTTGGCTCAGGTGGGATGATCTCTGCGTGGGATCGTGCCCCGCATTGGGCTCTGAGCTCGGTGGGGAGTCTGCTTGAGGTTCTCTCTTTCTGTCTCCCTCTGCCCCTCCCCCACCCCGCTCTCTCTAAAATAAATCTTTAAAAAAAGGAATATGTTCTTCTCCATAACAACAAACAAATTACACCCAAGAATATTAACAATAATTGTGTAGTATCTATTCTCATAAACCTTTTTCATATAATAAGAAGTCATGAAGAAGCTAAAGTCCTAGGAGAGGGCAAAGAGCTGCAGGTGATGTTCAGAAAGACTGTAGAGATGTTGCCCGGGAAAGAGAAGTGAGCAAAAGCATCCGTGTCCTGTGTCTCGGCAGATCTCTGGGCAGGAGCTTCCATGCCCACCACACCAGGTCCAGAGAGAGCATGTGGCCCAAGTCCTTACAGCAAAGGAGGAGACTCAGCAGGGCAGCTGCCCGGCTGGTGGCATCCCGTCCAGTGGCATCCCGTCCAGGGCCCGCAGACTCTGACCTGGGCTGCAGGGCGGCCACAAATGCACCTCTTCTACATTCTCCGTCACAGACAAAGCCAATGACCCATTTCATGGTGTCCAGGTCCGCACCGCCCAGCGAAGGAGCCATCAGTAATCTCCCCCCAGTTCCTGGTCTTCAGCTTCCTCTCATCTTCCTGCCAATTCTCCCACACCTCACGACAACTGACAGGCTTGGCTGAACTTAGCCAGACCCAAGAAATCTGACTAGGCCGGTGTTAATCCTCTCTATTCAAACTGCACTTGTTTTTTCAACCTGATGGCTTTCTACAGTGATTTCCAAATGCCAGGAAATTGTAGAGTTCAAAGGTTAAAAAAAAAAAAAAAGCACACCCATCCCTGCCCTGCCATAACCTCCACGTCAACTCCGCACGTAAATTCTCCTCAGATCCCCCCAGCACTTGCAACATAGCTTGTCTGTGCTTGTTCTTTTGACGTTGTTCTTCCATTATTTGCCTCCCCCACTAGACTGAGCTCCTTGAGAACAACAACCCTGTCCTTTTCAACACTGTACCCCACAGTGGGTCGAATGGTGACCCCCAAATGATATGTCCAGGTCCTAAGCCCCAGGACCTATGAATGCAGTCTTATTTGAAAAAAGGATCCTCACAAATGTAATTGAATTAAGGATCTCCAGATGAGATTAGCCTGGATTATCCAGGTGGGCCCTAAATCCAATGTCAAGTATCCTCATAAGAGACACACAGAGGAGAGACACTCAGGAAGCAGAGGGTCCATACGAAGCTGGGGGCACAGACCCCAGGGATGTGCCCACAAGCCAAGGAACGCCTGGAGCCACCAGAGGCTGAAGGAGACAAGGGAAGAGTCTCCTCTAGAGACTTTGGAGGGAGGGTGGCCCTGCCAACACCTTGTTCCCAGACTTCTAGCTTCCAGAACTGTGAGGGAAGACATTTCTGTTGTTTTAAGCCTCCCCAGTTTGTGGTGATTTGTTACAGTAGCCTTAGGGAATGAATATACCCTCGTAGCACTGTCCCTGAAGAATAGTCTAAGAAAAGCATATTTGCTGAAGGATTGAAAAAGCTGAGGGTGTGGCCTTCTACCTTTCTCATACCCCATGGACAGGGAAGCATCTTTGAAGGCCCCTGGACTCTGGCTAACAAATATGTAAGGATCTCTATTCTGGTGTCAACTGAACAATGTGTTCCTTTAATGAGGTGTTTTAATCTCACTTTATATTCATTGTTCTGCCCGCCTTGATTTTACTGTGAGTGACTGGATTGACTTTTGATGTATTACCAGCACACTATAAATTATGAGCCTCTTTCTTTAAGGCTGGAGAGGGGAGGAACCCTACTTCCCTGTTCCGTTATTTCAGGCAAGGGTGGGAGCAGGTTTTCTGCGCCAGCAGCATCCTGATTATGATTCAGGATGTGCAGCCAAAGGCAAACAGTTCCTCTTCAAATTCAATCAAATAGGAAGGAGCTAAGGCCCAAACAAGAAAAGACGGGTTCTCTTTGTGTGTGCAGCCAAGGGGTCCTGGGAAGCTGGTGGAGGATGACGCCCTATCCCAGGCTGAGCACGACCGAACTTACAGAGTACTTGGGAAATGTCTGCACGCATTAGTAACGGGATTCCAAGCCTGGCCTTACAGAGCCCCAGTCCAGACAATCCCAAATCCACCACCGGGGGAGTTACTTGCAGGCTATAAGGACAGAGGTTAACCAGATTTAAAACACCTATTTTTAATGTCTTCTTGGAAAAGATTCTGTGTGCCACTTCCCGCCGTGGACTGTGGCCATGAGGGGCCCTGATGATGGCTTCCGCGGACATGCTGTTCTGTGCACCTCAGAGCAGTGACTTTTCACTCGATAAGTCATGACCCCTTAATGGATTGAGAAATCCATTTAGTAAGAAGTGTCAGCACTTTTGCTTAAATGAAATAAAAGAGAAAAGCAAGTATCAGAGTGTATCCTGCACAGGAAGGGTAATTATTGTATCGTGAAATGTTGCTTCAGTTTCAAATATATATATGTGCCATATATTTGTGATAGAAAAGGGACTCCTCAACTGAGTATTGTAATCCAAAAAAAAAAGTTTGAAAGCCACTGTCGTAGAGAATCTGATCCACCAAACCAGAGAGAACTCCTTCCTCTTGTCCATGTCCCAGTTTTTAAGAAGATATTGGCAGTTATGATGGGCAACTCAATTAACGGGAATAATCCATTCGCTAGCTCGTAAGAGAGGTTGCCATACACAAGCAGAAGCATCCCTTCCCATCAATCCACTGGAGTGCCCTCCTCCTGTTGGAGCTCTACCATGCCTGAAGCTTGGCCCCCGATTCTTATTTCTACCCTTTGGTAGAGTCTCACCTGGTTCACTTCCATCTTCCCGGGACCCACTGTCATTCCTTGATAGTCCTGGAATTCCCACAGCCTTTCACAATTACTCTGCGACAGACTCAGACATTCTCTGAGGAGGGAAAGGAACCACCTTAATTTCTCTCACCAACCATCCTCTTTATCTTCCTGTGCCTAAGTGTCCAATTTCCCCTTTCACCAATGTGCCAGGAAGATGGTCACTCTGGCTTCCGTTAAGGATTCTCTCTCACCCACGAACTTGCTGACTCTCCTAGCCCAGCGGTCCGATACTCTGGCCCATGTCCCACCACTGCGCCTTGTCCCCTGCAGGGTCTGCCTCATGGATCTGCTACTAGTGTTCTGATCACTCAGGAAGACGGTAGCTAGAGCTTTCCGATCACACATGGTTAAGAACGGTGACTAACCGGGCTAGCAGAGCGGTGTAGGCTGGAGCGTGCACTTTGGCTTCAGCAGAACCAGGTCCAAGTTTTGGTGCTCTTGCTTTCCTGGCGGTTGACCTTGAGCACATTGTTTAACTTCTCTAAAGCCTCCTCTGTAAAATCAAGATAATGCTAACACCCATCTCACAGGATTTATGAAAGCCCATTTTTTTAAAAGATTGAACTTTCTGTGATGAATCCCTCTTGTGCATCTTATGAATGGACTTCACAAAAAGGTCTTTATTCTCTCCATGCTTTCAGGAATCTATATTACTTTGGCAAAATATGAAAAACAGAGAATTTCTGAAAAATATGTATGTCTAAAAAGTCAAGCCATTCCTAATACCTTAGATTTATAGAAAGTAAAAAAGCAAGGAACAAGGAGGGAAAGAAGGAAGAGAAAGAAAGTTCTACATATGGTCTGACCTCCTGCGATGTGCCACAGGGGTCTTCTCATTCTTGCATTAACACCAGGCCGTGCACATCTTTCTGCCAGCAGCCTGGTCTGGCTTGCCGGGTCTGCAAGTCTGTTTCAGCACAAAGGATCCGCTTAATGGAAAGCAAGTGTGCTGAGGAAGAACCAGGCTCACATTTTCTTGTGCATTCTTTGCACAAAATAAAAACGATTCAATAACCCAAAATAACTGAGGTCGTGTTTGAAGGAACTGCCCTTTACATCTGGGACTGGTCTTTCTTCTAAGGTGGCCATAGATGGTGACATAAAAAAAAAAAAAAATGCAGTTGATTTTTAAAGGGTTTTAAAAACCCTCAGTAATGCATCCGTGGCACACCAATAGGAATAATACTAAGGCTCCCATTTTCTCTAAAGATCAAAAACATAAATAGACAATTCAGAGAAGAAATTAAGTTGCTAATAAATATATAAAACTAAGTTCAACGATGATCAAAGACACATGTAAAAGCAAAACTGAAACTCTACTCAAATTTGTAAATACTGAAAGCAATACTTAAACGTTAGTGTAGGAATGAGAAATCAGGCATTTTTCTCTGTTGATGGGAAGAGAGAAGATCAAACTTCTGACAAAAATTTGGTAATACAAATCAATAACTTCCGAAGTTCCATACCCTTTGGATAATAATTTAATTTCCATAAGTACATTAAAGGGGAATCACCAGACAAGTAGGTATGTAGATACGTGCATAAAAATTCTCACTATAGTCATGTTTGTAATAGTGAAAAATTATAGTCTACATCTCTAATAAGGAAATTGATAAATCAATGATGGTTTCGGGCGCCTGGGTGGCTCAGTTGGTTCAGTGACTGCCTTCGGCTCAGGTCATAATCCTGGAGTCCTGGGATCGAGTCCCGCATCGGGCTCCCTGCTCAGCAGGGGGTCTGCTTCTCCCTCTGCCCTCTTCCCTCTCGTGCTCTCTGTCTCTCATTCTCTCTCTCTCAAATAAATAAATAAAATCTTTAAAAAAAAAATCAATGATGGTTTCTCACTCTGATGGAATATTATGCAGTCATTTAAATTGTATTTTAGGAATATTTAACGACATAGGCACAGCTGTAGGGTCGAAAACTTTGCACATAGAATGTTCCAAATTAGGTAAATAGAAACATAGATAAAAGAAGGTCAAAATGAAATATACTAAAATATTAACAGCAATGATCTCTGGATGGTAGGGTTATACATAAATTTATACTTTATGTATTTCCAAACTTTGAAAATTGGGCATGTATAACTTTTATGGTTATATGTTTGGATTACTACCATGCTATACTAGAGCTCTTGCGAGAGTAAGCTGACTAAATGCACAGACATTTAGCTGTCAACTCCAATGTCCCGACTGGTGGGAAGGATTGCATGTATTCTAATGATCCCATTCCTTAAGGGGTACAACACATACAGGGATGAACAATCTGAAAAAAAAAGAATCAAGGATAATCCACAATCAGTATAGGATATGATCAGCACAAAGCCTTCCACGTTCAGGCACATCTCAGAGATACCGTGGGTTCAGTTCCAGACCATGGCAATAAACGAATACCACAATAAAGCCAGTCAAATGAGTTTTTTGGGTTTTCCAGTGCATGTAAAAGTTATGTTTACACTATAGTGTAATCTATTAAGTATGCAAGAGCATTATGCCTTAATTAAAAAGCACTTTATTGCTAAAAATGCTATTATCTGAGCTTTCAGCAAGTCCTAATCACTGATCACAGATCATCATAACAAATATAATAATAATGAAAAACTTTAAAATATGGTGAGAACTACCAAAATGTGACACAGAGACATAAAGTGAGCAAATGCTGTTGGAAAAATGACTAGCTCCACGCAGGGTTGCTACAAACTTTCAATTTGTAAAAAAATGCAATATCTGGGAAGTGTGATAAAGGGAACCATAATGAAACAAGGTATGTCCGTAGTAGGTACTCAATAAACTATTTACCTTCTCTTTAGTAACAGATGAACAGAATAAGCAGTAAATGCTACTGTGATCAGATGGGAAGAATCCTGTGACCCTGAGGAGAGAAAAGCACACTGTCAGGGAAGGGTCCGTAGAAAGCCTGGTCCTTGCACTGGAGCTTAATGGAGTGGCTAATTGTGTGCAAGTGTGGAGGGTGGGGGAGGGGAGGACCTGTGGTGGAGACAGGCATTCCTCCCAGGCACCCCAGAGATACGGCTCACGGCCTCCCTGGCCTGGCAGTTTCGACACACTCCTTTCAAGCTATGCTAGAGCCTCCTTAAATATTTATCCTCTTCCTAAAGCAGCAAGAAACAAATGGAGGCACAGGACTGTTGGGATCCCCAGCAAGTGGCAACCGCTGCTCAAGCATGTCCATCCCTTGGTCATAGTTTCTTCTGAGTGCTGATGAGGCTGGATCCTGAGGAACCAGTCTTTTTTTTTTTTTTTAAGATTTATTTATTTATTTATTTATTTATTTATTTATTTATTTGAAAGAGAGAGCTAGTGAGAAAGAGAGTTCAAGCACGGGGAGAGGGAGAGGCAGGCTCCCTGCTGAGCAAGGAGCTGGACATGGGGCTCCATCCCAGGAGTTTTTCAACTTTCAATGAGTACTTTTGACTTCTCGGACAGCCGTATGAATTTTTGTGAATTTGCATGGTATAGATTCCTAAGTTTTATAAACCAATTAAGCTCCCTACTGAAAGAAATGCCTCGGGCGCCTGGGTGGCTCAGTTGGTTAAGCGACTGCCTTCGGCTCAGGTCATGATCCTGGAGTCCCTGGATCGAGTCCCACATCGGGTCCCTGCTCGGCGGGGAGTCTGCTTCTCCCTCTGACCCTCCTCCCTCTCATGCTCTCTGTCTCTCATTCTCTCTCTCGCAAATAAATAAAATCTTAAAAAAAAATAAAATAAAATAAAAATAAAAGAAATGCCTCGCCTCCTGACCATTTTGTGCTTTGTAACTCCATGGGTTGGCAGTCTGAGAGACCAATTCTCTTTTGGCTTCCAGTTGTCTTAGAATGTGTGTGTGTGTTTATATTTTGGTGCTGAGTTATTTTCTAAGAGAAAGTCCTTGCTTTATCATCACTTTGTTCATTTTCCCCTGGTGACCAGGAAGATCAGAGCTGAATTTAGTGTCCAGAAAAGCCAACCCGGTTATGTTACAATCCTCTTTTCAGCAATTCTTAATCTTTTCTGGCTCACAGATTTCTATGGGAATTTGACGGAAGCAAAGAGCCCACAACACATATGCGTAGAGTATGTTCTGATCGCTCCTTTTGGAAATCCTCAACTACAGTATTTTATGTTTTATTTGTGTTACTTTCCAGTGCCTCAAATGCTGATGTACACAAGGACTTCAAGACACGGGGGAGATGCTGACAAGAGTTAGAAGGGTTTGCAAAACAGAAGGGGTAGTCAGCACTTTCTGAGGAAGAGTATTTCTCTGGGAGTGGATCACAACTTAGTCCTGTAGTCTGGGGTAAAAGGACCAGACCAAATTGAAGTCCTGATTTTATCACTAGCAGGTTCTGTCTTGAACATACCTTTGCACTTCAGTGAGCCTCCGCTTCCTTAGCTGTAAACTGAGAACACTCCATGGGGCAGTGGGAGATTAAGGGGAAGACTCAATGTTGGAAGAGTTGGCTACACTGTAAAGTGTGGTGCAGTTGAGGGGATCCAGTAAGACTGGTTCCTCATGGGGGCACCTGGGTGGCTCAGTCAGTTAAGCGTCTGCCTTCAGTCAGGTCATGATCCCAGGGCTCTGGGATGGAGTCCTGCATCGGGCTCCCTGCTCAGCGGGGAGTCTGCTTCTCCCTCTCCCTCTGTTTGCTCTCTCTCTCTCTTTCTCTTTCAAAAAACAAAACAATTTTTTAAAAAAATAATAATAAATTTGAAAAACGTGAAGCCAGCAGAAAAGAGACTTGCCCTAAATATATTTGGGAAACGTAGCTTAGAATCCACATAAACATGCTGGAGGTATGTATCAAATGTTGCCCTCCCCCCAAAAAAAGGTCCCAAATTATCCATTTTCAGAAATAGAAAACTTGTACATTTCATATTAACATTCAAATAATTCAGTTGCTAGTAGCTGAAGAAGAGTTTAATTTCTTAGCCATATAAAGGCTCTGCCTTTCTAATCTGGTTTACTCTGTTAATCTACTTACTATACCTTTCTTCAAAGATAATGAAGTGGTGAGTGCCCGCCTCCTTTCCAGGTCTATTTTTCCAAATCCGGAATTAACAGGATCCTAATAAATAAAAGGGTTTGTTAGTAGAATTGGATTTTTCGGTCTTGAGGGGTTTTTGTTGTTGTTGTTGTTGTTGTTGTTGTTGTTTTGTGGGTTTTAAAAAAAATCCAGAGGTTCTCTTTTCCTCACTCTATTTAACCCTGGAGAAAAAGAAGTTTAAAAAAAGCATTCTTGGTAAGGCGACTTTCACAAAGCCAGTGGAACCACAAAGCCTCCCCCAAGGCTAAATCTCTCCTCCGAGCCGGTTGGTGCGAAAGTCCAGAGTTAAGGGGTTCTTTCCTCGGGCCCTTTGAAATAGACGTAATTAGCGCTTACGCAAAGGTGATGATACATTGGTATCATATACAGCAGGAGCCGGCAACTATGTCCTGTGGGGCATTCCTAGTTGCACCAGAGACCATGCGTCCTGCACAGACACCACTGGCCCCTTCCAGAGAAGGCTCGCCAACCCCTCCAAGCGTCTCACCTTGATCCTCAGGACTGCCTACGGAGAAGCAGCCTCTTGCTTACTGGTCACACGGATTTCGGAAAGAATGAGGGTTTGAGATTCCTTCCGGAATACTACTTGCAAAGAATACCAATGTACTGGGGTCAATGAGGGGACTGGGGGGAGGGGACTGTAGGGAAGAGGGTTAGGAAGGTGACCCCAAAAGGAGAAAATGAGTCCAAAGGAGGGAGACCTGCCAGTGTCTGAGCACTAGGGCTGAACAGGAAAGCCCGAAGCTGCAACTGCCCCTCCTGCTGCTGTCCCCTCCCCACGCGCCCCCTAATGTCCTTGGTGCACACGGGGGCTGGGGGGGGGGGAAGAGGGGGAATAGCCAGCTGGCCCCAGCTCCTGGGAGACAGCCGCCTGCACCTTCTCCCAGCTCCATGGGCAGTCACATCACATTGGGAGGTTGATAGCAGCTACGATAGGAATATTTATCCCAGAAAAATAGGCAGAAGCTACAAATCAGAACTCCCCACGCCCCCGCCAAGAACTGACTGTTATCTCCCAGCACAGCCCAGCACATCCAGACGTAAGAGGAGGCTGCGGTGCCCCTCCCCGCCCAGCTGAAGGGGTGCTGGCTGCTGCCAGTTCCCAGCTCTGTCCCTCTCCCTTGGAGAACTGCCTGCAGCTGAAGGTCTGCCCTTTCCCTGTGGCACCTCCTGCAAAAGCTAGCCCCTGCTGGGTGAACAAGCCAGACCCAGCTCAGTTCAGAGGCACTCCAGCTCTGAAGTCCCCTTTGGGTTCAGCTGAAGCCTCTGTTGCAATTGCCTCAGAGAGACAGAGTGACTGAGGGACCCAAATGTTCCCCACCAACTTCCTTCTTCATCCTCTCCTGTCTTGAATGATCTGTGTTGTTTAAGGTTCTTTCTAGAGTATTTTTCTCAAACAGGTGCCTGGGTACCTGGGTAATGCATTTTTCCGCCTGACCAGCAGGATGCATTTTGGCTAGCTCTAGGATTTTTCAGACATCAAGTTCCCATTATTAGAGGTGTGATAGGTGACCCCCACCTCTTTCCTTTTCCTTTATAACTAACGTTTCCCTCTTTGTATTGAAGAGGGAAGGAGGTTCTCTTTACACCTGCCTTTCAAGAATTGTATCTGGCTGGGCTTAGGTGTGTGGCTTTTCATCCCAGTGACCCCACGAGTTCTTTATAAACCTCAGACCCCAGTCTTTTTCATGCAGGGCCGTCGTCTTCTATCATTTGCCTAATTTTTCCCTGTCCTTCAGCTGTTTCCAACTGTTTCTTTTTCTCCTCCCGGAGCTCCCGTGATTGACATCTTAGGTGTCCCGCCTCCAGCCTCCTGGGCTCCTATTTTGCCCACATGATTTCCATCTCTTTGTATCCTTGTTCTGTGTTTGGGATATTGTTGTACTTGTTCTTCTAAGTCTGTATTCTGCTTTAATTAACTCAATTAGTATTTTAGTTAAAAATATGTTTTAATTCCAGGAAGTCTTTTTTTTTTTTTTTTTTTTTCCTGGTACCGTGTTTGAATGCCCTTGTTAATTCTGCTCAGGCTTTCAGTGCTATTTTCTGGAAGAGCCGTTTGGTGGGCTCTTCTTCTCCATCTCTCTGCCTGCTGAGCCCCCTCACATGCACAGTTTTCTTTTATCTGTCCTTTGAAGCTCAGGGCCAGCTTCTAGGGGTTCCTTAAGTGACAACAGTCCTGCGGGGAGCTGCAGATAGGGCGTCAGTTCCAATCAAGGCACCAGGAGGAAGGAAGCCTCTCGGCTCCGCTGTCTTCCCAGGTTCAGCTTCTCCTCAACAGCCTGGCACCAGGGAGGTGGCTCATGAATGCTGATGGAGCCCAGGGCCCACCACAGGTAGAGCCTCATCCCCACGCTATCTGTGGGGTCAAAGTCCAGCTGCAGCTCCCATCCCCAGGTCTCTAACTGAGCCCTGCTTGCCCTTGCTCCTCCAGGCTCCACCTCCATCGTTCCTAGCGGTTGCTTCACCAAGAGAAGTACCAGGTTGGAGCTGGAAGTTAAGGGCAGCCAGTGCACCATCTTATGAAAATCTCCACTCTACCCCCAGCCCCTTAATAAAAACGAAGGGCAAACTTGATCTGCCGTCCCCAGCAGATGCCTAATTTGCATTAAACTCTTTGTTTTCCAGGGGTTTCTTTGGGGGAAGTCCTTCAAAGTTATGTGTAATAATTAAATCTTTTTTGAATAATTGGATTTTCTTTAAAATTGCGATCACTGGGAAAATAACTGGGCGAAAAAGGTAGAGTACAAGATGCATGTATGTGTGTGCACGTGTGTGTCTGTGTATCTCACATCCACAGACCTACAAAATACACCCAGAAAAAAAGTTCGCACGAAAATTGTGACCTGTAGATGATGAATTTATAAATAAATTTTACTGTCTTCTGTTTCCTCATCCAAATTGTCTATTAGTTCTTGCTTATGAAAGGTAAAAGAATTGTTCTCTTCAATTGTTAAGTCAGCAAAACACATTATAAAATGTTGTTTGATGCTCACAAGCATTTCTCGAGAGTGTGAGGAGGGCGGTGGCGTACAGCCCTTAGCCTCTCCGTCTCAATGTCTGTACAACAAGGACCCATCTTGAGGACTCCATGCTTTCAGTGGACCCACCAGGCCATTAGTAACGTGTGAGGGCAAAGGAGAAGCACAGATAGAAGCTTCTTGCCCACAGTCACCCAGGATGGCCCCACCTAGGATAAACCCAGGCCTGGAATGGGGTTCAAAGGCAAAGCCCAACCACCCCAGATTTCCCTGGTCTCCCCGAATGTCTAGCGGACTGGAGAGTTTCTCAGAGCAGAACCATTTCCAGTTTACTGCTGAATCTCCAGCACCAAGGACATGGGTTGGCACTTACTGGTCACTCAGTAAACAGTGGTTGAATGAATGAATGAATGAATGAGTGCATGCATGCATGACCTCTCACCTCACTTGATACTATAGGACATGTTAGCAGATGGCACTGCTTGTTTCGGGGCTATCTTTGGACTTGCAATCCCATCAAAGTAAGGAACAAAAATCTGAGATGTGTAGAAAGATCTCAGAGCTCAACAAAGGGGGTTCAGACTTTCATTTGTTAGGAAGATTTCAGCTCCTGTTGGTTCCTATAGGAGGCTTCTTTCAAAGAGCTCAGCTCCCCGGCAATGGGCATGACCTACAAGGGGCTGGCTATCTCCTGTGGGGGTTGATATAGAAGGGGCCGTGCTGGCTGTAAAGAAAGACCGAATGTCCTCTAAGTTTCCTTCTGATTCAAATGCTACAGCAAATGCAATTCCTGCTTGGGAAACATTATGCAAATGTGTCTTTTTCTCCCCAAACTATTCTTCAACCCTGACGTCATTCCTGTGCTATCAAAGCCCTTCTTTGAAGCGGTCAACTATGATTCAAGGGAACAGCTGGGTCCGTCCTTGCAGCAACCAGGGGAGTGACAGTCACCTGTTAAGAAAGCCTCCTCTGGGTGCCCTGGCCTGGTCTGGGACCGGAGAAGGGGAGTCTTGTGGAACTGTCGCTGGTCTGTTCCACAGGTCTTTGCCGGACCTAATCCCCAGGAAGACACGCTGTAGGACGGGTGACATTCTCAGTATGTAACCACTGCGGCTGCAAGGACACTGGCCACTCCAGAACGATGCGACACTGGAGACATGGCCTAGAAGGGTATCTGCAAGCAGCCTGCGTTTGCTTGCTGGATCCTGGGGAGGTCCTGGCTGGGGGCCGGGCGGCCAGGGCAGCAGGGGGCACTGAGGAAGCTAAGAGCGACAGCTACTGAGTAACTGGCACAGAAGGCTCTGAAGAGTGTACGAACCAGAATGGCCAGCCTAGCGCACACCAGCTAGACGTTGGCCCAGCTCTAAAACCGCTTCGGAGCAGGGCGACCTTCTGGCACAGGAGGCAGCCCCTTTGCTCCAAGCCACATTTTATGGAGTTCTTTTATTAGTCTCGCATGTAACCCGTAGCCACATCATAAAATTAAACACCCCATTCTGTACATCTAGTCCACTGGCTTCTTGAGCCCTGATTAGCACTGGGCTTTTCCCTTTGGGGGTTGTATTACAGTAACATTAAAACTTACGGAAAAGGAATCTTTGCTGGGAGCAGCCAAATCCTTCTGACCTCAGTTGACGCCGTAGCCACGGTGTCACCCAGTTTCTGAAGCCCCTTTGCCAGTTGGTCTCTCTCGGCTTCTTTCATTCCTACCCCTCCCCGCCCCTCCCTCCGGGTCCCTTCCCCGTCCCTAGGCCCTCCAGTGATGAGCCTGGGTGCTCAGAGCCTGGCCTGGAGGCAGCGGCCAGGGTAGCCCCAACTCACCCCGGAGAGTAAATTTAGCCCGTGGGTGATATCCCAGATGGAGAGGTTATCTTTAGCCTGGCAGAGGTTAGCAGTCAGTCTGGGCCGTGCAGTGAACCAGCAGAGGGAGCGGGGAAGGAGGAAAGGGAAGGAATACTCGAGAGTCTACAATAGCCGTGCTCAAGTGTACTCAGGTGGTAGAGAACTCGGAGTCGGGGCGTGCTTCCTGAAACATGAGGCTGTTCCGGGAACACCCTGGAATAATGGCCTGTTTCATTCCATCCATGAAGGAGGAACAATTTTAATAGCAGAAACTACGGCTACATTATGGGCCGGCAGTATAAAACTGCAAGCACACGTGTTCTTTAAAAAAAAGGAACAAACTCAGCAAGATCGGTGGTTTTCAAGCTTTCCCATTCATATGTTTACTGCTTGTTCATTAGTTTTGTTGCCTGCAGGTGCTAAAGGTTTAAGAGTCAAAAAAAAAAAAGGCACGGAAATAAAAAAAATTTACGTGGAAAAATCACATTACCTGAATTAGGGGAAAGGCCACCACCATTCGATTTGAAAGGTAGGACATGTCAGTCGGCCTCAGGAATACCAAGGAATCAGCTTCGAAAGAAGTAGGATGCCTTTTCCTAAACTATTCTAGAAAGACCGTAGACGCTTCCTTAGGGAGATGAAAATACCTTTCCTTGTTATCATCCCAATACAAGAAATCCTTCTTCCTTTTCACTCACTGAAATCTTTCCTCATACCCACAGCCTCTTGTTTGGCCTTCCTTATTGAACAGTTCATCGGCATCTTACTTACTACCAGGGGAAACTGAGCTCCCAGTTTGAACCTGAGCTGGAGATCTGACATGTCTGGGCTCGTCTGCCTGACAACTACAGGAGAGGCCCCGGAGCTTCCGGGAGGGAGCCTGTTCTGTGGGAAAGGTGACCCGAGGAACCTGGACTAACCCAGCAAGGCAGTCCTGTCCAATGGAGGAGAAGAGCAATTAATTCTGAGTATCCCTTGGCCAAACATGCATTGGACATGAGTCTTATCAGGAGCAGCAGGACCGTAAGGAAAAACTGGGAAGACCATTGTGCTGGAGTTTTTCGAGAATTCAGAGAACAGACAGTAGAGCTTTGGGACCTCACTACTGGAACTTTGTGCAGAGGGAAGGGAGACAGGCAAAGAACCTTCTTCCTCATTCCCCAGAGCTTTGGCTTCAGAGTGCCTAGGGGGGGCCCAACTGTGACTTGCGTGGCTAGCAGGAACAGGCCCCGGGGGCTCCTAGGACAAGTCAGAGAGGTTGTACAGGGGGCTGGAAATCCTTGGCTATAGGCAGCCATAGGGTCCAGGGCCACAAAGAAGACGTCTGTCCTCAGAAAGTGAGACCTGGGACCACCCAGCTGACTTTGCCACGCACTTAAATAATTAAGTCACCTTTTGTCCTTCTCTTTGTTGGATTACATGATGCCAGTGTGGTCACCTTTATTTTAACACTATATGAGTGCATTTTGGTCCTCCTTACTCAGCTAGAAGTTACTTTATTCATCTCTGTGACTCTCCCTCCTACCAGTACGTAGCAGAGTAACCAAGAAATGACAGGGCATTTATAAATACTTTAATGAGAGTCTACCCAATAAATACTTAGCTGCTCTCCATCGGATATACTCCTTATGATCCACCCTGGCAGCACGGTGGTACTTGCTAAAATGGCCCAACATTTCCTATCCGTATTAAACCTGTGCCCAGCCATGTCTCCTTGGATCTTTATCCACTACCCTTGGGCCAGACCTGTCTTACCCCAGGTAGTATTTGAGATATCCAGATTTTATCATTCCACCATTATTACTAAGCATCATCATAATGTGCAAGACTAGTTCTCCAGTTCTCAAGGTCAATGAACCCTAAATCTCTTTTCCAGATCACCAACAAGCATAACATCACCATGACCTGCAAAGGTACTGAGTATGTCCACAACAACCTCAGTAGTTCATCATAAAAAATGTAAAAAAAGCTCTCGGCTCTGGGCTCTTTCTGTCTTTATTACTGGACTGTGAGCTCCTGGAGGGCACTGGTCTATTCTTCGCCCCCCCCCCTTTTTTTTTTTAAAGATTTTATTTATTTATTTGACAGAGAGAGAGATAGCGAGAGCAGGAACACAAGCAGGGGGAGTGGGAGAGGGAGAAGCAGGCTTCCCGCCGAGCAGGGAGCCCGATGCGGGGCTCGATCCCAGGACCCTGGGAACATGACCTGAGCCGAAGGCAGACGCTTAACGACTGAGCCACCCAGGCGCCCCTATTCTTTCCCTTTATACTCACTTCTGCCCCAGACCTGGTTTAATATCCTGCAGATAAGAGGTTCTGAATAATTGGCATCTCTGGGCAAAGAAACGCTGAATTAAGGCTGTTGCCTCTGGGCAGGAAGATGATGAGCTAAGGGTCTGGTTGGACCCTTGGGAATCATTTGAGTATTTAAATCATGTGCACGTATCCCATTTCCAATTAAAATGTTCTAAAGCAAGTTCTAAGTAAACAGAAATACAACAAAGAACAAGACACAGCCCTGCCCCTCTGAGCAGTGGTGCTGACAGGTGCTCATAGTTGACACCGTACCCTTTGGAGTCAAGTGTCCACATCGTGTCACTGGCCCCATGGAAAGCCTCGCTGAAATCAAGCAGGATTGTGCAATGACCTGCCTGGCTCTCGGCCCTCACAGTCCGTTCCTCATAACTGGGCCGACAAGACTTCCTGCTATGCCCAGGCCCCAGGACTAATCCTGCTCCTCGTCTGGAGAGATTTTAAGGGACTTCGGGCTTAGGTGACTGACTCTGCCTTTGTATTCCCTTGGCAGAGGGTGGTCCAGATCTCTGGTGAGAATACCCGTCGTCTCCATTTTTAGTTTGCTTGATCGAGAAATCCATCAAGGGGTTAAGTGATGCATCTATGAGGTCAGAGGCTTTCCCAGTCCCCCCATTTATTGACCAAATGCAATTATTCAGAACCTCTTATCTGCAGGATATTAAACCAGGTCTGGGGCAGAAGTGAGTATAAAGGGGAAAGAATAGGGGCGCCTGGGTGGCTCAGTCGTTAAGCGTCTGCCTTCAGCTCAGGTCATGATCCCAGGGTCCTGGGATCGAGCCCCATATCGGGCTCCCTGCTCAGCGGGAAGCCTGCTTCTCCCTCTCCCACTCCCCCTGCTTGTGTTCCTGCTCTCGCTATCTCTCTCTCTGTCAAATAAATAAATAAAATCTTTAAAAAAAAAAAAAAGGGGGGGGGGAGAATAGACCAGTGCCCTCCAGGAGCTCACAGTCCAGTAATAAAGACAGAAAGAGCCCAGAGCCGAGAGCTTGACTGCATATGGTCAAGTGTGACAGAGGAGAGATGGAAAGATTGCTTTGGGTCATGGGCTGGGAGATAAAGGGGCAGTCCAGGAAAGCTTCTGGGAGGGACGACTTTGCTCACTTGAAAGCTGGTGGGATTTCAGTAGCTGCAGATAGAGCCTGCCAGATCAAGGCTGTGGCCTGGGAAGGTGATTCCGGTTCACACAATATAAAGGCTCCGCACTTCCTTGGGGAGAACACAAAATGGAAGGCGAAAGGAGCTGCGCCCTGAGAGCCTCTCACCATCCTGTCTGCTGACTACCTGGACCTCACGCTCCATCCCTAATAACATTCCTGCCCCCAGGAAGCCCACCCCACCTCTCCCAGGCAGGATTAGTCGTCCTGTCTGTTGCCCTCCTGAGGCCTGCCGTCTGTTCTCGAAAGTCAGGGAGATTTAGAGGTTGTGCGCAGACTCTGGGGATGCCATGCTGCCAGGGTTCAAATCCTGGCTCAGCCACTGACTTCCTGAGTCATCTTACGCAAGGTGCTTACCCTCTCTGGGCCTCAGTTTCACCATCTGTCAAATGGAATATTAATGGCCCCTCCCTCCTAAAGTCACTGTGAGGATTAAAGAAGTGAGTGCTCCCAGACCATGAGAGCGGCGCCTGCCTGGGTGTCTTGGCTACAAGAGCCCCAGGGTGCAGTTACTCTTCACTGGACTGTCTGGCCTCCTGAACTCCAGAACCTTGAGGACCAGGGTCACGGCTCTTCATCTAGGACTCTCTCTCTCAGGCTGCGGGCTTAGAGGCGTCCAGCAAAATAGGTATGCAATTACTATCTTCCGAAGGGAGGAACAACACAGGGCCATGAAAAGGGAAAAACAAACAAAACAACAACAACAACAACAAAAACACGAGTCAAGGCCAAACGCAAAGACAAAGCAACACACATGAAATGATGGGAAATGAACGTAGAACAATGTAGGGGCTGAGAATTTGCCATCCTTCGGAGGAGAAATATCCTGTCACCCCCCTCATCTCTCAACAGGGCACCAAGCGTCTGGGAGTGAAGGATTTTGCCCTTCCCTTCCAGGCCCAGCGGGCCCAGGCGCTCCC